GTAGCTCAAATGTGCCCCCTGGGGAAAGATTTCCCTACAACCCAGACAAAATTGTTCCCCTTCTACTTCTGTAGCTTTTTTATACCACTTGCTTATTAAATAAGTGACAGTCTAAAATGGAATCATTCTCATCCCCATTTTATAGCTGAAGAAACGGTTTTAAGAGTATTGATTTGTCCAGAGCCCCAGGCAGTGGATAGCAGAGTGAGATTTGATCCCTGATCTGTCTGGCCCTAAAGCCTGTGTCCCCCATTAAGAGGGGACAGGGAAGAGATGCTGCCTTGGAGCTGGGTCTTCAGACCTTAGAAATGGCTTTTTCAGGTGGTGAAAAAAGATTTCTGAGCCCTCAGCTGTAGAATGATATCGGGGCCTCTTTCTGCTTCAAGTGAGATATAAATGCGAAAGTGCTTTGGAGTTGTTTTTGCCCAATCATCACACAAAGAACATGATACCAGAACCAGAAGTTGTATCAGCTGTAGTCATAGTATAGAAACAGTTTTGTTTTTTTTATAAAAGTTCTTAACTGGGATGGGAACATGGGGGTTCATTACACTGTTCTTTCTACTTTAGAATGTGCTTGAAATTTCCTGTAGAAGGTGGTTTATAAAAAAGACTTTTAGCTTGTAAAGTGCCATATAGTTCCAAGTGGCATAACTATCATAATTGTTTGTATACGTGTCTTTCTTAACTGCTAGGTGTTTATTTTCCTGAAGGCAGGAAGTGCCTTCCTCCTTATTGTGTCTCCCCAGTGATGACATGGTAGGTTGTGTGAGTGCTGCAGAATCTGCGGCTAAGGGACACTTGAAGGCTCAGGCTGGTCATAGGATCAACTGCCAGACAGGGTGCCCTTCTGATGTTTCAGTAACTAAATCTCAATGGCCAAGAGCCACAGTGGATTTGCTACAGATCAAGTTTCTCTCTACAAGAAAATAGTGTTATAATATGGTTTCAGTGTAATGTCAGGGAACATTCTTTATGCTCAATTTAAAGTTATTTTTGAAATAGGTAATATATGCACATAGTACAGAATTTTTACTGTGTAAAATAAAGACTTCCACCCCATCCTACAGCTGCCAGCTCCTGTCCTTAGTCTCTGGAGGAGCCTTCCAGAGGTAGGCCATGTTGCTAGAAACATATAGGAGGTTTTATTAAGGACAGCATGCTGTCCACACAGTTTTACATGTTATTCTTTTTTCTCTTTTTCTACCTTTAGTACAAGTGGTGCTTGGAGAGTTGCTTCTTCAGCCTTGGTACACATACTGTAATTTATATAGCTGTTTTCTTTTTGATGGACTTTTAGATTATGATAGCAAAAACTTAGAA